GGCAAAGATTATGAAAAAGAGAAAAATGAGCCCCATAGCCATTCTGAGTGTCATATCTATGATCTATGGTATCGGCGGATGTAGGATGCCACGCCCAAGTCGTGAAGTGGTAGTCTAGCTCAAGTGGTCATGCAGCCTGTTCAAGTTCTGGTTATACTTTTATTGTCAGATTTACTGCCTGATAAACTATTCTTTCTTTGTGCAAATGGTTAGAAAGGCTTTATTTATGAAAATAATTATTATTTTTAATTTTATCATATTTTATGTTTTGTACAGACTTCACAGTTCAGCCTTCGTCTATTAATACAACACTCAATTCAACTGTAAATTTCTTTTGTGAAGCTACTGATGACTATGATTTTTTAAACTTCTATGCTGACAGTATACAAACCAGTAGAGAGGAAATAAGAAACAGAGGATTTCAAGATAATATTATTTCAATAAGTGGTGGAGCACTAAGAGGTGTTTTGACTGCTAAAGCATATGATATTAATAATAACACAAATATTACATGCGTAGCTAGTTCTCTGTCGACACTACCTATCACAAGTGATACTGTCTTTTTAATGATACAAGGTTAGTTGGTGTGTATGTTATATAGTGTTTGTCAGTTGTTTTGTATGACGGTTTTTATAAATAAGTGTTTTTAACTATATTGTAAAGGAAATGGGCCTTAGTTTTACAATTATTATGCTTGTTAATGTTATCTTAATGAGTTTATTCAGTCAGTTGGGAAATAGCTCTTTCAGTGTTATCTCTTTTATGCAGGTTTATTGGCTAGTGTTGCTAATCTGGATTATACCTTTATTAATGGATCCAGTGTATTATTAACATGGACAGCTCCTTATACACTGGATAATGTACTTATCACTGGATACTATATAGTTAATGGATTAATGAACATTACTACTCCTAATAATAATACTAATATTACATTATCAGCTACTAATCCTAATCCCTGTGTATTAAATAATGTATCAGTTTCTCCTATTAACGATGTTGGAATTGGTTCCTCAAATAATAAGAATTTTTACTATCAAACAGGTTAGCAGTATTACAGCTTTATGTGGTAATATGGAGGAAAACTTTTGGCACATTTGATAATAAGTCAATTTCAATAGCCATTTGCTAAACTAATAAAGCCAACAAGCTTGCTCAATGACTACGTTAAAACTGCAAATCACCAAAAATTTGCCAAAATTTCCCCATTATCTATGTTTATAGTATATCGTTTTCTCATTTAGTTCCTCTTATCACTCCTAATGTATCAGTAATACTAATAGTTGATGAACAAAAGCAAGTGCTATTACATATTCATGTTGATGTAAGTTCAGGCAGACAAGTGACTGCCTGACTGATATGAGTTCCAATCCACATGCATTAATGCTATATATATTATAACACTTTGTACTCTACTTCTAGGTTGCAGATTTATGCATTGGTGAGTATCCTAATAATGTAACAGTTACTATACTGACTACTAATAATGAGATACAAGATAGTGCCAGTATACCAACACAAGTCAATGATCAACTGGTGATTACTGGAGCAATAACTGTACCTAGATCTAATAATTTAAATACATTTATTGTTAATGTATCACTGAGTAATAATGGAGGAGAATTCCTACCTACACCTTCTTTTGGATTTGGTAAAATTTTATAATTTTTAATTATAAATTATATGCTACAATAACATTTTAGTAATTATAGGACCAGTTACTGAGATAATATCAATAATTATTGATGACTGTTCTACAATTAACATAACATGGAATGCTCCTATAGTCGATGACAGTATATCTATACAGTATTATAATTTGAGTATTTATGATGATATTTCCCATCAGTTCCTAAGGAGTATAACAGTTAATGATACCAGTTATCAGTTTGTAAATGACAACTTATTTATTCATCATTATACATATGCTATAACTGGAGTTAATGAATTAGGAGAAGGAATACCTCATAAAGCTACTTTCTCCTATCAGAGAGGTATAGCTACAATAATTTAATATATGATTAATTGTATTGTTACTCAGTTCCTAGATCAGCTAATGAAAACACCGTTTTTCTAAAACTTAATTATACACAAAACATTTTGACTATTGTTGAGTTCAATATACTGGTAAGATATAGGGCCTTACTACACTTGCACTATAGCTTGAACTGGTTCCACAATGAGTGCATGTGGCCATGTGCATCAAGTGATTTCACACAATTGTCTCATGTTCTTGTATAATTATTTTGATAGCATTTTTATCCAGCTGCTATTGGTTTGTAATGAATGAGCATTTAAGTCACATTATGGAGAAGATAATGTGCATGTAATAAAAATGTGTATCACTGCATCAGGTGTGGAATAATCCAATTCAATTCATTTAAAGTGCTAGTGTTAAAAGGCCTTTTTTGTATTAATTCACTACCTCCTCTATTACTATTAGGTAATGCTAGAGTGTACTGGTGAAGCCCCTAATAGTGCTACAGTTACTGTACATTGTAATGATACTGGTAATATATATAGTAGCTCTTATATAATAGAGCATACTAAACAACCAAATAATATAACAGGATTAATATCAGTCCATCAGTATCAAGAGTGTAATATCAGTATTGTATTTAGTAATGAAGCTGGTAGTAGTGAACCATTTATACTAGAATTTGGTGAGTTATATGCACATTATGTTTATAGTACATATCAAGTATTACATTAACAGATACATCACAACTTTATCCCAATATCACTACAACAACTACCAAGAGTACTATCACAACTGATATAGTTATTATGTGGTCAACGAGTACAGTCATATTACTAATGATATGTCTCATTTCATCAGTTTGTTTTATTATTATATACAAGAGGAAAGCTAGTAAGCATTTTTATTATAATCATTATATTTATTACTATTAATACAGGGAGTAACTCATTGCAACAACAAAGGGTGCTTACTGCATCTAATGAAGCATACCAG